AGAAATTTAGCTTGTTTTCTGTTTACGTTAGATCAATTCCATCTGTCACTGTACTACTTGGGCAGTGTGAGGCAGCTGTTTCAAGTTTTCTCTATGAGAAGATGTCTGTATCTCATGATATCAGTGTTGGCTCTTCTATCTACCACATGAACAAAGATCTTCTCTTCAATGAGCAGGGCCAGTCCTGCTGGGCTCTGCAAACCAGAATCAGGTCTATGTGAAACAAAAACAATGTCTTAAAAAATAAAGTATAATAAAATAATAATAATACCTCAAACTGGCTGTTAGAAATTGTGTGGATTTTTTTTTTTAAAAGGTATTTTTACAGTTGAATTTGAAAAAAGGAACCAAAATTTTGTCAGAATGGTTGCTGTCTATAAACATAACTTTTGTCTTCCATGCCTTAATTTGTTGTTCAAGGGATTATGACCATGAACTAAAAATAAGTCAAAACTTGAGGAATAAGTAGTGCCTGAGATGAGGGAAAAATGAAAGATTTGTATGTCATTCATTTGGGGACATAAAGGAGATGGTTCGACTGCACAGTTCTTGGGCTCCTATTATCCTCCCTTAATAAGAGCCTCCTCCTGTCCATTTCCAGTTTCAATACACCAGCCCCCTGCCACCCAATTCAAATTTTTAAGTCTCTTTTGAGTACTCTCTTCCCCTTACCCCCTTCTTTTAATTAATCGTGAAATCCTATTCACCCTTACTTCATATTTTCTCATATCTTTCCCATTCTTTACACACCTAGTTCAAGATCTCATTTCCTCCTGCCTCTAATAGCAAAATAGCCTACTCTCTCCATTCAGTGAAGCCTCTACGCCGTGACCATATGCACCTTCCCACAAGACCATTTTGATCATGTCACTTTTCTGCTCCAAAACCTTCAAGAGAAAACTTAAATTCCATCACTACAGTTCTTTGACCAATTCTGATCTACTTTTCCAGGCATGTTTCCCATTAACCTCCTATATATTTTCCAAATTGCAAAATTAAGGAGGCACTCACTCTCAAGTGTCCACCCTGCATTTACATGATCTTGAGAGTGGGGGCCTCCTTAAATTCTTCACCCTTGGTGCCTAGCTCACCCCACCCTGAGTTCCTGGGGTACATTTTCTAGAGATATCACCTTGGCAGGCAAGGAGGTCCACCACTCAGATCTCTCTTCAGGAAAGAACTTGATATTTAGGTGTAAAAAGTGCAATTAGCTGAGGGCCTCCAGCTACAGAAGACACTGAGAATCTGCCTTGACTTTTGAGTCATAGCCATGCCCTTCTGGGAACCCCTAGTCAGTGACTGAGCGTGTTAGGAGTACTTAGGCCTGGCCATTTCTGTCCAGCATGGGTTTCCTTTAACATAAAGCAATCTTCCCTCTGGAGGCCACTGAGTTAGATCAGACTGTCAGATCTGCACCGTGATCTGAAGCCTTTCCCAACACAATTTGGCTTCCTCCCCCGTTTATCTTTTCCTTCCAATAAACTACTTGTTTGGTAATCTTGTCTCAGTATCTGTTCCCAGAGGACATAAATGACACATGTAGTCAGCAACTGGTCATACCATTCGGGACCTGGAGTTAGAGGTAAAGTGATAAACTGAAGTGGACTTCTCATGTAGTGGTTAGAAGGTTGTGCTCCACAGTTTGGGTTCAAATCTAAGCTCCATCACTTCTGACCTCGTATAACTTTAGAGAAGCTATATAACTTTTCAGTACCTCAGTTTCTTCATCTGTAAAATGAGGATTTTAATATTAAGTAAGCACTATGTGAGATAATGCATTTAAAGTATTTAGTGCAATGCCTAGCTCATAGTAAGTGCTCAAGAAATATTCATTATTATCGTATAGACTTTGCCATTTACAGAAGTTGTTGGGTATCATAAAATAAACGAAATGTTCACTTTCTCAAAGAATTTTCCAAAGGATATAATAAGGCTCATGAACATTAATTAAAAACCTTTCAAACTCAACCCTGTGATTTTTTTCAGTCTCACTTCCTGTCATTCCCAATATGGCTCCTCTTCTCCACACAATGTTATCACCTTGTTGTCTCCTGTCCTGATTTGCTTCCTCCCATATTTCTTTTCCTTTCACCCAAAGTACCTATTCCTCTTCTTTCCATCAGTTCCTACTAATAATTGCCTTCAAAACTTGGTTGAAAACTCACCTTCTCCAGAGTTTCTCTGACCAGCCTTCACCACCCATGCCAACCATGACCATCCCTTTCTACTGGCAAACCTAATTTATTATTGTATCATTTTGAAACTAAATGGAACAAAAAATAATCTAATTCTCAAACCACGTTGAAGGTATCCGTGCCTCCATAAACAATTGTTAGTAACAACATAGCTGAAACAGCCTCTCCAGTTTCTTTAAACAAGATTTCCCTTCCCCCCACCCACCTTTTTGCCTAAGGCTAAGAGATGGCTTGGCCCATCAATGATCAATAAATGCTCAAAGGATGAAGGTTTTTAGCTGTGGATGCATGGTCCCTCTACAAATGATATTTTTTATATTCTCTATTTGTGAGCCTTAAAAAATGAAATGTTTCATAAAACAATCTCAGTCACACAATGGGGAAACTATTTTATGGGGGAAGTGTTTTACAATCATTTTTGGTATTGTAGTTAATATAATTGTTTTATAAAATAAAAGCCTGGTCTACAATACATCTAAAAGCCAGTAGGAAATCATAATTAGAGACAGATGGCAAACGTGGCATTCCTTCCTTTCACTATTTCGTACATATGATATTCCCTACAAAATGACACTGAACGTTCCCCTGGTTCCACACAGTGCCCTACAAGCTCGGACTAATAAAACCTCTTGTTACTCCTAGGAAACACTTCAAAAAGAATAACCAACTTCAAAAGTAAGATGAAAGTGTTTTGCACGTGGTTAAGTGCAATGAATATTTTTACAAAGCTTAGTATTTGAATATATCCGTTAATACATATTGCAATACATACCAAAAAAGTACTAAGAAGCTTCAACCATCCTGTACATTTAACCTGAAACCCTCATCAAGATATTCACATTCAAAGCCAAGATTCCTACATCAACCAAGTCACAATCTTAGGTGTATTTAAATATTGTAAATCAATAGTACCTTTAAAAAAATCTATTACACACGAAGCAACACATGAATATAACATTAATAGCCTACACAGGTTTTTAATGGCTCCTAATATAATATGCCCTTTCGAGGAAGCATTCGTACATATTGAAATACATTTTGACTGTACTACTTTGAGTAATTATAAATTGAACATGAATAATAAGCATTAAAAGTTATGTAATTTTTTGAAATACATATAATCCTCTATTAGTATGCAGCTCTCTATAAGTGATAAAATCTTAGACTTCGAACATTAAAAAGTAAAAGTAGGTTTCACACTGATTTTCAATATATATTTTTATTGTTACAATTCAGTAAACTATTTTACCAGTTTACAACTGTCTCTAATTCAAAGCAAATCAAAATCAATTGTCTGTTATATAATCAATATCATGATGCAAAATTAATAGCTAATAAAAAATAATTAACTTATTTACTAGCTCATTTTAAATATAGTGAGGAACTATAACCAGATGGCATTAATATTATCTAATCTGTTCCACTTACCAAGTTAACATTAAGATATTTCCCTTTCCAAATATCAATACCCACTGTGCATTTAGAAAATCCAGTTATAAAAACCTGTTTTACTTTATTTCTCAGAAAACTGCTAGTTCAACCTACTTTTCTTTGTGAATTCTGAGTTGCTACATTATTTTCTCATCTTCACAATAATTACTAATAATCTCAAAAAGCAAGAACATAATGCAAAGTGAAAGAATTGTTATAAAGACAAGAAAGCAAATTTCTATTATACAAGTGAGCAATTCTCAAAACAAGTTGTTTATCTTAAACATACAGCACATTATAGTCATAATTAGCTCCCAACCACAGTTATATATACACATTTTTCAAAATAAATCTTTTAAATAAAGTAAAGTACTGCAAGCATCTTTCCAGCTTAAGGATTTGAAATAGCAATTAGATCTCAACCTTAAATCATTGGTCTCTATAACTAGAAGAGCAAGTCCTAAGAATGTAAATCCCACCCAATGAGACAAGAGACGCTGAATGTATTATTAATTGCTAAGTAATTTCTTAATTTTAGACTGTAGCACCCAACACACTGGCAAATAAATAATGTGATTTATGAGCCTACACTCTCACGCTGTGTTACTGGAGTTCAATAAACACATGCACACCCTAAACGTACAGTGTGGATGTGATTTCTACAAGCAAAGAAACATAGCAGGACTCAGCAACAGCAAGTCTACCCCATCTACTTGTTATTCAAACACTAGTATTTAGAATACCTAAAATGCCTG